CTTTATTTGAGTTTTGTATAACTTATATATTATACTATATTCTACAACCTCCTAATATGAGTTGGTAAAACCAAGATTACAGGTGCTGACCTGATCGATATGTCATACAGTTTTATTGTAACATATTCTGTAAATTTAAATTTCATTGCCAGTGAAATATACAATATTAAGAGCTATACTATAAACTTATTTACCACCTAGCCTATCATTTAACAATTATATTAGAAATAATACAAACATCTGGACAACTATACCAGGATTTATATCTATTATATTTATACAAACTATTAGAGTATATACAGACTCTAACAAAATGACAACAAATATGGAGTGCGAACAATAGAAACAGCCCATTTTTACATTTAACTTATTTTGAGATAATTGAGTTTAATCATTTGTTTTGATTTTCGGACTGATCCAGGATTGATCAAATTTCACGATTTTGATTGGCTAAAAGTAGCAGGTGACTATTGGATAATCTCGTGATGTGTTGGCTCTACGAAGCCTCGTGTAATTTTTCTTTTACATTATTTTGATTTTTTATTATACAAATCGACTTTCATTTATAATTGAAAAATGTTAATCATGTCAAAATTTATATGAATCTAATAAAAACTCAATTTTTAAAAAATATAAAAATGGGCTATTTCTATTGTCCGCACTCCATATTATTATCCTACTACTTTTGCAATTATCTTAGAATATATATAATCTAATCTGGAAACCATATTATGCCAAGCTATCAATCTAAAAACAACAACACAATATACTTACATATATTAATAAAAACTGAACAAGACAAAACACTATATCTACTTTTAATAAGTCATGATCAAGAATACAATATACCTACAGCTGCTGCTATAGCTTATCTGACTAACAACATATAGACAATGACTGTTCATCACTTAGAAAAGCAATAAAAAAAGTCTTTATATAATTAAATACTTAGATAAAATATAGTATTACTAATAATATCATATATTATAAAATTTAGATAAGTCTTTAACTATTCTAGTAGATTTAGATTGCAGATAAATTAGATAGTTAAATATCTATAGTATGAGTCTTATTTTTGTAAAAAATTTGTAATTATTAGTTTTATAAACTAGAAAAACCTCTAGTAGATTTTCAATACAAATTATTAATAAAAATAAAAGCAAAACCTCACCTTAAAAAATAAAAATAAAAATAAACAAAAACATTTTTTAAATGATTTTAAATTGTATATTGCTATATACAATTCTGTAACTCTTTTTGGAAAGCTTTGGTTTGTAAGAGATTTCTTAATATATATCACAGATTAAAATGAAATCTGATCAAAATGGAATTTTCTGTTTTATAAAAAAAATTTAAAATTTTTTGGGTAACATTTTTTGGGTTCTTTTTAGCATTAGGGGTAGGGTTTAGGATTAGGTTTATTAATAAATAAGTATATGTAGGTTTTATAGGCTCTAAGGGTAGGCATGAAAGGTCTCCAATTTTATTTGATCAGATTTCATTTTAATCTGTGACAATATATATACTATGCAAATTTTCTATTTTGAATTGCAAAAAAGAATCTGTTTATTGTAAACTACTGTTGATCTGAGTAGTGTTATTAGTATATTAATCAAGAGCTTCAAAAGAAGAGGAAATCAAAATATTAAATATTATAATAGGAAATCAGAATTATGTTTAAAAATTAAGTTTTATAGTGGATTGAAAACAGCTTTCTAGTTCTCCATGATTATGTTAATAAATCTATAGCCATTGTCTGTGATTTTTATTTCTAATTGAAGTAATTTTGGGTTTGAGCGTTCTGGGCTGTTGTGAATAGGTCTAAATTGATTTATCTAAAAATCTGTTGTATTAAATTAAACATCCTTCTCAATATTATTCACTTTAATTGATATAGATGCTGCATCTGCTATTTTATTCATTGCTTCTAGTATATATTATATCTAAATCAAAAAGTTTTTCTTTAAACAAAGTTTCTATATCTTCTTAGCTAGCTAATTTATAATAATTAATTTTATTTCTACTTGATGATTAATATAAACTACTATTGTTATAGAGTCTGAATGAATGAAAATTAATTGATTCCTTAAAGCTTTTAGCAAAGTAATATCTTTATTATTTTCAAAATGTTTATATAAAATCTTCTTTCTCTTTGTTTTAAGCTTCTAAAATTATATAGTTTATTATAGCCTCTATTTTATTCTGAAAACATCTATATATATCATTGCTTTTAGTTGCTTCTTTAGTATAGCTCTGCTATTTCAACTTTTTAAGTATTTATTTAGTTCTGGAGTTGCCTAATACTTTCTTGTAATAGATTGATAAAGGAATACTATCTTTTAACTCTTAGTTAATAATTTTTGTCTCTTAATAGTTGACAAGAAAGCAATTATACTAGTATTATTGCATTTAATACTGCAATTATTTTCTAATTAAAGAGGCTAATTTTCTTATATAAATATAAGATTTTGTGCTTATAATTTTGTATTCTCTAATTATTTTCTTAATTTTTTACTTTGGTAATAATTAATTTATTTTGTGAATCTATAGTAAATTTTAAAAATTTTATAAACTGCTAGCACTAGACATAATTTTTTTATATTTATAATAAATTTTAGAAACTCAGATAGATGTATTAGGTTCTAACTCTTCTTATAAGTATTTTTTTGTTTTTTGCAATTAGAAGTATATTATCTAAGTATGCTATTATCTTAATCTTCTGCAAATGTATTAACTTTATTACTAGTTTGAGAATCTTTATAAAGCTTTCAAGCTTGTTAAAAATTTAAAAAATAAGCACTTGAAACAATATCTTCATCTCTCAAATCAAATATAAAATATCTTTAAGCAGTAGAATGGATAGGTATATAGTAAAAAGCATTCTTTATATCAATTAAGATTAATTTATTTAATAAATAAGCATTCTTACTGATTTGATACTCTCCATCTTGAAGTGATAATATTTTATAAAATTGTTAAGGTATCAAAGGTTTATAACAGGTTTTAGCTTGTCAGATTTCTTTAAAATAAGAAAAATCTATAATAAAAAACATGATATATTTATAGCAAACTCTAAAATTATATTATTTAACAATATTTTATTAATCTTTAATTCTAACAACTCTTTGTTTACCTGCTTTTGTATAGTTAAAATTGGTTGAATTACTAAAGTTAATATGTTTTCCAAATTAGAATATAGCCTTTTTGTACTATAGAAGTTACCTAATAATTGCCAAATTTCTCAAATTATTTTGTTGTAAAATATTTAAGTCTTCTATCAATATTCACATAATGCTTTATCAGTAGTTCTGGTTGTTTTGTAAATTGTTCTAAAAATTTTTCTAATTTTTTTAAAAAGTTAAGTAGTGTAATGTTTTGTAATAGTTTGTTTTGAAACCTTCTTTAAATGGTATTAAGAATGACAAATCTCTTTGTAATCTATTAAATAATTTTAATTAATACTTTGTAAAAGTATATTGTTAATGTATTTGGCCTTATCATACTCTTTTTTGATAATTTTATATAGCTTATTACTAAAAACTTCTTCTGTTTGTTATCCTATATATTTTGGGTTGATGCATTTAAGAGCTTAATTACTTTGTATTTCATTGATGTAAGAAAGTGCATCAAGTACATTAGCAAATTTAATAGGGTGAAATATTTCGAAATAATTTACGAACCGTAAAAAGCCATAATATTATATAATATATTTCGAAATCATACTAAATATAAAAATTACAAAATATTTCATAAGATATTTTAAAATATTACGTAAGAAATTTCGAAATAATTCAAAATAATTTCATAAAATAAATATAAGGTTAAGTGTTATAAATAAATTCAAATTAGTTCGAATATAAATAACTAAGTTTGAAATAATTTTAAACATTAAATATAGCTATGTATTCATATTAAGACAATCACTGAATTTTATTTATAAAATAAATTAATTGGTATTAAAATATATTAAATTAATTATATAAATTTGAAATAAATAAGAATAAAATATTAAAAATATCAAAAAGATAGATAGGAAAATTAGGAAGAGGAAGATTAGGTTGTTTATTTAAACATTTTGAATTAATTTAAATAATTCGAAATATTTCGAAATAATTAAATTATGAATAATGTTTTATATTTTATATTGTAAAAATTTAGTATAATTAATTTATTATAATATATAGAAATATTTTTTATCTTAATTTAATATTATCAAATTTAGTAAATTAAATATATTTGCTATATTTCACTATTTTGATTATATCTTTGAACCTTGGACGAGAAGAAAAAAGTAATGATAGCTTTATTTTTTGTGCAAATCTAGATTATGTAAAAATTAACAAACCAAAAAATCTACAGGTTAGAGTGAAGGAGTTAATTGAGAGAGAATGTAATCTAAAAGGGCAAAGAAAACTCACACTAATTAATAAACATAAGTAAAGGTGAAAATCAATTCACACGCCTCCTGATGCATAATACGAAGGAACCCACCTTTGGTATAGCTAGTATTGTGAATGATACTGAGTTGGACTTACATTATGCAACTACTGTTTAACCCCATGACAAGAAAAAAACCTAGGTAAGGCGAAAGTCCTACTCATTGATTTATATTGTGAAAGTATTTAGACTGTGGAAAGTTGTTGTGGCAATTATTGTTGGCTGACATTGAAGATCAAAAGAAAGAACATTGTTAGTGACTATAAACCAAGGGAAAAAATGTATAAACAGAAAAATGAATGTCCTAAAACTTGAAAAAGAAAATGTAAAACACAGAACAATTAATGTCATTGGTAGAAGAGACGATAGATGCGAAGTCGAGATCGTGAAAGGTTTAAGTATTTGTGTTATATATCAACATCAACGGCATTTGACTCGACGTTATCTATCGTAAATACAACCTGTAATATAATGAAGGAGAAAGATCAGAAACTGCATTGAAAAAAGGTTCATTATAAGAAAAAAAAAGAAGATACAGATCTAAGTAGTAAAGTTTGAGACGTATGATTTCCTTAGGGGGGCAAAAGAAAAGTATGAGTGGCCAAGGTAATCAGGTAATCTGAACATGGATGAAAGAACAAAAACTTGAAGGTTCCAATGAAAGAAGCACTAGAAATAATGAAGTTGAAAGAAAACATTTGAAAGTGGTTACTTTGAAAAGGGTTTATTTATTAAGGTTTGCATAACCGTGTTGCACAGCTAATATTATTAATAAAAATAGCTGTCAATAGAAATCAAGCAAATTTATTAGAGGAATTTGCTTGATTTCTATTGATGGCACTAGTTAGTCAATGATCGACACAACCGATATAATCCGATTATCAAGCCAAAATCGATCTACCAAGATAATACGAATAAACTTATTACATTTACTTAAAATTTTATTATATTTATTAGCTGTATTTTATAAGTAAAAAATGTTTATTATAACTTTTTCTACTAAATAAATGATTTAACTCATTTTTGAAAAAAATGTCGATTTGCTTGATTTCTATTGATGGCAGCCCATATATACCTTAAGGTTTAGAGACAAAAATATAAATAGCAACTCATATTATTCTATAATAATATTTCTATATTTATTAAAATAAATCAATAAAAAAAAAGATAAATTTAATTTTATATCAACCTGCTTTTGCAATTTCAACAACTGCATTAATATGCTTTTGCTGATCAGAAAACCTTGAGTTCTACTATTCAATAAGTTCTTCATTATGCTTGATTTGTTTATCATACAAATCTTGAATCTCAACTATACTATTGTAAGCCCTTTATAATTTATTTCTCAACTCCTCTATTTCATTTTTTTGATCATATGTATTGCTGCATTCGTTCGATTTGACCATTAAGTTCTGTTATTAATTCTGACTTTTGCTAAATATTTAGTTGAACTAATTCTATAACTATTTTAATTTCTTCAAGCCTAATTAATGAATCGGTAATATTAGGCTTGGATTTCTCTACTAGTATCAAGAGAAGATATTTGGTTTTCTTGAACTGAACCTACAAGATGCTCGTAAAATTGATTAGTTATAATGATCTGATTATAATGTATTAAACAAATTAAATAAGCCTCAAAAGAAAGTTTAGCAAGCTCGGGTAAGTAAACTTGAAAAAGTTTAATTCTCTTAGCTGATAGTAGACTGTCTGCATTTCATTATTTTCCTTTACTACAAGGTTTTAGCCTGATTTTATTATGTTTTTCAACTAAGCCAGTGAATATACATTCAAGATTTGCTGCTTTTTCTTTCTGGTAAGTAGATATTAAAAATGATTTAATGTTTTAGTTACTTAACAAAGTGCATAGAAATTCTTAGATTTAAACTCTCATTTACTTTTTTGAAAATGGTTTACTTCAAGAGATTAAATGAGATTAATAAATATAGATGTTTTATGCTGTCTTTTCAAATATCATTTAGTATTGAGTAAATATAAAAAATATAATAAAACCCCAATGCAAAATGTGGGCATACAATGTAAAAAAAGATTTACTGCAGCCAATTAAATTCACGAAGCTGTATGCCAATTATTCTAGAATATGATTTCCTTATTAGTAAATCATCAGACTGAATTAGACACTTTAACAACTTATAAAGACCAAATTCACAAAGTTTAATGAAAGCTATATCTAACTTACAGCAACAACTATGAAAATATATAGCTCTCTTTATAGAAAAAAAAGAATTAAACACTACTATAAATATACAACTCAACATGATAAACTCTATACAAATCTTACAGCAGTTTGAACTATAACTTACACAACCACTAGTCTCCAAATTGTCAACTCAACCTAGCTATTAGAAAGGAAAGCCTTACTGATAGCACTGCTACCTTAATTACCATCATTTCATACACATGCATACTAAACATTACTACAAACAAAAAACAGCTAGTTTATAACTTTATAAATATAGTCCAAACTCCTATATATCTGATTAACCAACTAATATCTATACCTTTTGAAATATATAAAGCAACTATAAAAACAGCAATTACGTGAAAAGACCTAAAAGTACAAACAAAATTATGAATACAATAATCAAATCTAATACTTCAAACTTGACAATAGCTACTAAAATTAATACTAAAAAAATATTTAACAACACATACCCCCAAACTACAACATTATGCCTTCTCAGAGTGTGGCTACTTAGTGTAGTGGTGAAGTTGTCACACCCCCAAGTGGCAGTGATCAGAGTTCAAATTCCACTAACAGCGAAAATTCAAATTCCAGAATGTGTTACGGCAAACTGTGAGTGTAATTAGACAGATTGGTATCTGTAATCTGGTCGTACCAGTTGTATTAGAAGGCTGTGGAATGTAGTATAATGTACAAGTTATATAAAACCTAAGTGAAACAGCTGTGTAAATTCAGAGTCAACATATATAGGAGCCCACTTGGCAAGACCCGAGTAGAGAGGTAGCACAGATCTTCAACAGTATTATGTAAAGGATTATTAACTAAAAAATCAGAAAACCAAATAGGACTGAAGTGCTTGGCAAGGCACTCCACCAACCTGGCTGCCAGAGAGTAACCAGAGAAAAAGGACCCAACCATAGAGACCAAGGGCAGGTCACAGCCCTTCTGGGCTATCTGGATTAGAAGTTTGGGATGACGAGTATATAAGAAATAGTTTATATAGTGTGTGCTAGAGTTTGAGTGAACTCTATAAAGGCAGTAGTAGATAACGATAGCAGCTTTAGCTCACAAGTACTTGTTCTCAGACTCAGCATAAGTTACCAAAAGTTTAGATTAGCTGGATTTGTCAGTACAGAAGGCTTTAGCAGGTTTACTTTAAGGATAAAGAGTTCAATAGGAATCTGCTTTAAAGTTCTAAGTTAGGTGTCTGAAAATAAGAAAGTACTTTATATCCTTGTTCAATTAAATGATTAATGTATATAGCAATATATGTACGGTTTGGTATACTATACTATAAAAGTTAACAATAATTGAATAAAAAGAGACGACCAAGAGGTCACCTTAACACCAAAAAAAAAAAAAAACATTATGGCTTCTCTCACAATTTAAGAAGATTACTTAGGCATCTACAAAATGCAAAAAATATAACAAACTAGCACAATCAAAACAGAATATATTAATGGAATCTCAACCCAAAAGAAATCAACTGAGAACTAATCTTCGGCTTCATAAACTACCACAACAGCTCTCTAAGTTGATACACATACCCAACTCAGGCTAATATCAAAGTCTTCAAAATAAAACTAATACTAAATGAGCTTCCAATACCTGTTAATTTACATATCCACTATCCAGAAAAATATAACAACTCTATATGTTACAGATGTATACAAATAAATAAAGACAACCAATACTGGATTACATGCACTACTAATACTCACTCAATTGAAGTTATAATCACACAATTTCTTAACTAAACAATACAAAAATATAAAGTAGATATTGACACAACTAATTTCAAACAAAATTTTTTATATAAATTTATAAACAGACCACAACTGCACCTCTTAGAATTATTACCAAAGATATTATTATAAACAAAAACCCTCAAGCTGATATAGATACCTCTAGAAACCCTACTTGCTATTTCCTACACCATGTCATAAAAAGAATTCAAAAAAAAATCTGAAAACCAAGATGCTATGAACTCTCAAACAAAGCTATACAAGCAGCCCAAGCTACAAGTCCAACTATAAACAAATATCACTTGATATATCTAACATATTACAAAATATACAAATATAATTACTGGCTAAATAGCTTTATAACTGCAAACACTTCACCTCTTACAATCTCTTATATAGACTAATGAGATCATTTAACCTATCTTTACAAAAGCTTAAATCAAAAGTAAAGTAGCTTTAGTCTCTAATTCTATATAAATTGGAAAACATAATATATTGTAATACTATTTGTAATATTATATAAATTTTAATAAAGGAATAGAGGCATGGCCTTGCTTTTAAAATAAAAAAAAACAAATTATCTTACTAGGATATTAGTAATAATAATATTTTCGCTAAACTCTTTCTGCTGATCATCAAAACACAAATTTTCAAAATACAAAATTAATAAAAACTACAAAAGACACAAAAAGCTACTAAAAAACGAATCTCAGAGCTCTAAGAAAAGAAGAGAACTACAAAAAACACCCAGTCTCTTAGAAGACTTGAGTAAAAGGAACAGAAGTAGCAAAGAAATAGAAGAAGTCGTGAAAAATCGTCAATATTTTTTTTGCACTTTGTGAATTTTTGGGGAATCGGCCTTAACCCTAAATTGCAGATCTGTTTTAGTAGTACAAGAATCACAACGCATAATAAAAAATAAACAAGAGAAACACACCAAAAACCACGTGACAAAAATAAGCAATGGAGGTAAACAATCGCAACAAGTAGCAACAACAAACAACGATAACCAAAAAACAACAAGTCACGTGAAGCAGAAGTTAGTTCAAGTTGCTGGAAAAAGACCTGTTACAAAAAAAGAGTTATTAGAAGCTATCCAGAATATAACAACAGCAATAACAGATGAAATGATAAACATGCAAGTAGAACAGACAATGGTGAAATATACTGGACAACAACTTCTTTCAGAAGAAGTAGCCAAAGCACAAATAGAAAAACTTTTCGAAGAATTTCAAAGGTATAACAAAGGAGAATTAGAGTATACTGAACTTGCATTTATAGAAAGAGACCATAAATGTTTTCATAAAGCAATACAAAAAGGAGAAGACCTAGTTGTTAAAATTATAAAAGAAGAGATAGTCGGTATTATGGTAGAATTAAGGATGGGTGACAGATTAAAAAGATTACTAGCAGATAGGAAAAGACAAGATGCTGAAATAAGGTCGAAATTAGATTTAGAATAGAGAAAAAAACTTCAAGAACAAAGGAAAAATCGACAAAAACAGCACAATAAAGCAACTCTGAAATCTATAATACAACAATTCAAAGAATCTGTCAAGACTACCGCAGCAAATCAACAAGAAATTAGAAGAAAAGCGAAAAAAGAAAGAGAAAAGATGCAAGTTCGACAAAAGAAAAAGCAAGCTGCTAAAATAAAATTGAAGTTAGATCTAGATTGAAGTAAAAGACTTCAAGAACAAAGGAAAACTCGACAAAGGCAGCAGAATCAAAAAGTATTAAAAACTCTAATACTACAGTTTAAAATATCTGTTGAATCTATGGCATTCAGACAAGGAAA